CTTTCGTGGATGTTTTATTTTGATAAAGAAAGTCTCCACTCCCAACTTCTGGAGGTAACTGTCTCTGGATGCTCCGTTAGCTGGCTCTACCTCGTATTGTCCATGAAGCTCGTCAAGCGTGGCCTTGGTGATGTGAACTCGACTGAAGTTATGAGTTATAAAGTTGTGAGTTTTAAACAAATGCAAACTTAAACGTCACAACCCGTAAATATTCATTTATTCTCTTTTTTATCCGTCGTCTGCACTCAATCTTTTACCGCTTCAGGTGTCGAGGGTGATTTAAGGTTTGGGTGCTTGCTCATCTGGCTGGAATCGGCGACCGGGTTGCCAATTGGCTGACCGGTAGACGACTTCGTCGTCGGATAGGACAATATTTGGGCCGGTATCTTTGATCGCATCAACACTGCAGGAGTGCTTTGTTAGGGCTCTTGGTGGCATGCAATACTAAGCCATTTTATATTTCGTACATTACCTAGTCCCAGTTATAAACTATAGAACCCCGTTCGGGGATGCTGGTTGAACATGGCATTTTTTTTTTCCATCATTGCACCTCATCTAGCACAGGACTGCAGGTGACACCTGGCTGCTGAAGCTGTTTCAGATGCCCTAATTATAACTTCTTTGGAGGTTGAATTGGATATCTGTTTTTTTTTTTTTTTGTCTGCCGTCCAGGCTAAGATTTTTTAAAAATCTAACAATGATAAGGTTTTATCTGTCTGTTTCTACCAAAGACACAAACAAAATTGTTGTAGAGTTCTCTGATGCTATCTTTCCATCGTGTTCTTGATTTGCTTCGTTTTTAGCTCGTATAACATCTAATCAGACCGGAAGGCTTGTTTGTATATTTTATCTGGAAAGCTAAAAGAAAAAAAAATATTCTTTTGTGGCTGGAAGTTGTGGCAAGACGTTAAGACGATCAGTCTTATGTTGATCATGTAACCAGTAGAAAGCCGCTTGGTCTATACAAATATTATGCTAGCATCGTACGTATGATGTGCCCAGAGGGGTTCTATACTTTACTTTTCACATGCCACTTATGACTGTGAATCCAAGACAATTAGCATACAAGCACACAATCTATTAGGGCCTCATGGATGTAGTCCCACAGATAACTGTTAAAATGTATTTGGTGGTCAAAATCTATAATTTAAAAATTTTGAAAAGGAGCTTAGACAAAAAGACTACATTAAAAAAAAAAACACATCAGATGTTATTTAATGTGTCCTACTTCTCTGTCTCTTCTCCTCCTCCTCCTCCTCCTCCTCCTCCTTCTTCTTCTTCTTCTTCTTCTTCTTCTTCTTCTTCTTCTTCTTCTTCTTCTTCTTCTTCTTCTTCTTCTTCTACTTCTTCTTCTCTCAGGCTTAAAAGGGTGGGTAGTGCATTGTGTTGCCCTTTGCAACTTTGGCATGGTATAGTCGATTTCAGTAAATCCTTCCTAAAGGATACCGGCCTCCCGATACACGTGGCGTGACAGAACGATCGAAGAAGATAGGAAGAAGTAAATCCCTAATTAGTGGCTTTTTGCCACATACTTATTTAGGGAAAGAGCGTTCGCATTGTTGCATCACCCCCCCCCCCCCCCCCCCCCCCCCCCCCCCCCCCCCCCCCCCCCCCCCCCCCCCCCCCCCCCCCCCCCCCCCCCCCTTTACCAAATTGGGACCCTAGAACACACACGGGTAGTTTAAGGTGACCAACAAAGACAAATAATGATAACAATATTCAGTTTTCTGATAATACTCATGTAGACCTCTCTATGCTTGCCTTAAGCAATCTCATCTTCCATCGCTGGAAATAGCCGCGAAACTCCCGCTGTCAAGACAGCATTGACACAGACAAAGCTTTACATATTTTAGTATCAACTTCCTCTCGGCTGCCACCCCAGTATTATAATATTTCCGGGAGCAGCCGGAAACTTCCTCTAGTACTTTCCCACCCGCAGTGGACTAGGACGGTACACCGCTGTGGTGAAACATTTACAGATCCCATGACTGCAACTTCATGTGAGGAAAAACTGAGTATTTGGGAGTTACCCTGTTGGTTTGTCACCCAAGATGCGACTCGGAGTTGCAGGGATAGTCAACGTTCTTAAGGGGTCACTACACCAAAAATTTTTATTTTTTTATTTACAGACTTAGAGCAGTTATTTTATGATGGTCATTTGTAGGGATACATGTTATTACATTTGTATACTTTAAGTGTTAAAAAATCATAGTTGTCATGGCAATAGCCGCCATCTTGTGAAAAAAAACAATATGTACTTAGAATCCTTAAATTTTAAAAGCAAATATAGGTATTCAACAATAGATGATAGATCCATGACTTTTCGTCCTATTTAGAGGTACTGGTCTAGTTTATTTACTTTAAACATGTTTTTAAATATTTTTCGTAGAATTTTAAAATGTAGGTTTATTGAAAAAGTCAAAAAAATCTAGCATCATAAGACAATAATCAAATTTTAGAAACAAAAACTTTCTAAAATCTACTTTTAGATACACCAGTCCCTATAATATTGTTTATGGAGTATGCATACCAAATTTCATGATTCTACTCTTCATATTAGCTTAGATTTTAGGATTTCACACACACAGCAAACTGAAATATAAAGATTTGAGAAAACTGACTTTTAAACTTTTTTTTATCTTAAAAAAGTGCACAAGGTGGTGTCATTAGTATTAACTTTTCAATGCTAAATTGTTTACAAATGACATCAATTTTTGTGTCATCTATTGTACGAATGCCGAACTTTACAAAAACGAACACATTGAAAAGGTGATATTTTTGTCATAAATTGGGGAAAATGCCGTGTGTCCTACACACAGGACTGCAGGTTACGCCTGGCTGTTGTAACCGTTAAGGGTGCCGTAATTTTACTTCTTTGGAGGACTGAACAGGGTATTTCGGATTTACTTTGTTGGTCTACAGTCCAAAATGAGATTTGTTTTTAATTTTAACAGGGCATGGTAACATGTATGTAGAAATATGGGGGTGACAGCAGTCAAGCTAATAACGTGTATGTAGCTGCCCTGATGGAACAAACTGACTAATCGATCGATATGAGTAATCAAATTATTAGGTGAGCTACGTTTTCCCATTCTAGCTACTTGGATGCAGAGAAATCAAATCATTCAGGGAACACTGAAAGGTCGAAAAACTTGCTGACATCTTATGCTAGAGAGGTCAGAAAACATCTTTCGCCTGTTCACCTGTTAGTTTTAAAAGATGATTTAATAGATATTTCAGACGACGGGCTTATGCCTGATGTCAGACGCTACAGCTTTACGTGTCAGATCCCAGTAAACGATCTTTTGAAAACTTGTCCTCAGTTAAAGTTCTTGCTGAGACTTTATGTTAAAAGACAACAGATTGGCACTTGGAGTTGAACGGAGTGACAAATGTGGGACAGATTGATATACCTGTCGCTCCTGTTTACTTCGAATCAGACGGTAACAGATTGACAATTCAAGTTGAACGGAGTGACAAATGTGGGACAGATTGACATACCTGTCGCTCCTGTTTACTTCGAATAAAACGGAACATATTGACAATTTAAGTTGAACGGAGTGACAAATGTGGGACAGATTCATTCATTCAGTAGCATGTCCCTCGCGGAACCTCGCTGCCATAACAACCCTCCGGAAAACCTTCCTATCATGAGCAAGATGTCCTGCGTCTGATACACCCATCTGGAGATCATCTGCCACATCCTGCACCCATCTTCTCCTTGGCCTTCCTCTTCCTCTCTTCCCAGGCATATACCCCTCCATTATTGTTCTCTCTAGACTTCCATGACGTTTCAAGTGACCAAAATATTTCAATTTTCTTTGTTTTATTGTCTTTACTAGCCAACCCTCTTCAATATTCAGCTCTTGAAGTATGGATGCATTTGTTCTTTTCTTTACCCAAGATATTCTTAGAACTTGTCTGTAACATTTATATTCAAATGCATTTATACGCTGTTCCGCTTGTTTAGTAAGTGCCCAGGTCTCACAGACGTATGTTGCAATGGGAAAGATGCATGCTCTTAAGAATCTGACCTTTGTAATTCTATCTGTACAATTCCATAATTTATTCAGTTGTTTTAGTCTTTGAAGAGCAATTGATAGTCGCCGTTTAATTTCTTTCATTGTGTCACCATTGTTGGTAACCAGTGACCCAAGATATTCGAAATTTTCCACCACTTCCAATCTTTCCTCATTAACATATATTTCCTTCTCCATGGCAGTTTTGTTTGTATGCATTATCTTTGTTTTTGCTATGTTAAGAAATAAGTTATGATTTTGGGACAGATTAGCACACCTTTTATTCCTGCTTACTTCAAGTTAATCGCTAACAGAATGACAATTCAAGTTGAATAGAGTGACAAATGTAGGGCAGACTGGCACACCTATTACTCCTGTTTAAATGACAAATACCACTCTTGTGGTGTAGACAGGGGAGGTCTTTGGACCTGAGGTTTAAAGCCGCATGCCTAATGCTGTTGCCACGACTGTGCCGGTGAGGTTTTATTGTGAACCCGATAGAAAAAAAGTCGTTAGCCTTACCGAGGATTCGAACCCGGGTCTCCCGCTTGAGACCGCAGCGTTCTAACCGTGCAGCCAGCCGCTCCTCTACTCCTGTTTACTTCAAGTTAAACGCCGACAGATTGGCACTTCAAGTTGAATGGAGTGACAAATGTGGAACAGTGTCATACCTCTTACTCCTGTTTTCTTTACAGACTGGCATTTCAAACTGAACGGGGTGACAAATGATAATATCACACAGATTGTGAAGCTTGCACCCATTTCATTGAGAAACACAAAAAAGGTTGTTGTCATTTCCTTTTAATTCAAACAAAACAACTACTAACGCAAGGGCTATACATAAAAACGATCCAATGTGATAGCAAGAAGATGCTCAAACAGAGGATGAATTGATGACATTCAAAGTTTTAAAAGTCAAGAAGATCAGCTTCACTGCCCCGGGTTTGATGCTATATGATTAGGTCTCTCCACAGAAAGAAAGGCCGCTTGTCGAAAGTATAGCACAAAATACGAACTTAGCTACAGTGTCGATCCTATGGATCAGCATAACAAGAGCACGCGTGAACTGGACGACGAAATTTGTGAAATGATCCCAGGACCTCCAGAGTGCCAGACAAACGTCTTGATCAATTTGCTACGCAGACCCTTTGTAATACATCCCCACGGACTAACAATAGTCACTGCCACCCATCGAGTGTTGGCCCAAATCTGTATCTTGTGAAGCTTTTGTTTAAACACTTTGTGGAATAGGATTTTTTTTAAAGCAGAAACAGAAACAAAAACACAAGAAGAAGAGCCAGAACAACGAGAACAAGACAGTAATAACAGCACTAACAAATCCAAACCTACCCAGGGAGGCCGCCAGATTCCATGTGATTTGCTAATGTGACATCGTTGCTGAAGACGTCATACTGCCATTTTTTCAATCCCATAACTCCACACAATACCCGTCCTGTGTGCAGACCAACACGCATATTCAGCTTAACCCCAGTCTGGTCACATACACTCCTGAAAGTGAACACTGAAGGTTTTACTGGTGAGCAGACACCGAAACATCAGGTAAGTAAAGTAAACGACCGTTTTCCACAACTTCGGGTGTATTGGGCATATAGGGCTGGACCTATATGTGTATAGACCAATCGGCTGTTGGAGAATGATATGGTCAGCATCAAGCCGGTTACCTTTATTTCCCAGATATTTCCATCAGATAAGTTATGACAATATAGGTAGAGCTTTTAGGAGTTTTACATTACTGATAGCGTCAGTATAATGTGGGAGCGCGGACTTACACACACACTTACACACACCCACACACATACACACACTGGCCAATATCCATCCGCACTGGACTACTGGCCACGTTGTAACCATGTAATGAGGCCCAGTTTAACTTTTATATGGAGTTACCAGGATTTTTTATCCGGCTCGATTCTCACCCTTGCGATCTTTAAGCTACAGACAATCCGACAATATTGGGGGGAATGGAAGGTGGGTACAGACATACATTCACATTGTCTTTTACATACTCATATATTCTTTCTCATACACACTCCCTCTGATTCATTCTATCACATACTCTTTCGCACATAATTTCACATAATTTCACACACTCTCATGCTCTCACATACTCTCTTTCATAAAGACACTCATACATTCTCTCACTCTCGCATATACTCTCTTGTTCTGTTTCTTTAGTGCTCTCTTTCATTTGTTCTCTTTCACACATACTGACATATTCTCTTTCATAAAATGCCCTCCCCTTCTCTCTTTCAGAGTTATTCAATGGTAGTTGCATCCCCCGTTAACGTATGATGATGATTTAGAAATGAGATCATATTTGACTGGTGTGTAACCATGGAGCGAATTTGTTAGAAATTATATGAAAGGTTAGGGCTAGGAAAAGCTGAGTGGTCTCAAGGCATGGCGACCGCCTAGAGTGCAGGAAGTCTCGGGTTCAGACCATATTGAAGGCTGGGATTTTTCACGTGGCAAAATTTGGAGTTAAAAATCAACCGGAGTATTTAAGGATTCTCGCCAGTGCAACAAAGTTCGTATACTACGCAGAGATTCTTCAGACCCAGGCTTGAGTTAGCAGTAGGAGCACTTGTGGGTCACACCCGTGTGCCATGATGTTGATCTGTTGAATAAACCAAACCAAACTAGGGCTTTCTAGCCGTACGTAATGGTAGTTTCAGTGTCACCTTTTTCTTCAGCGCTACTGTAGTAAACACTTTTAGGTGAGTAAGGAACCTTTTTCCACACCTTTAGACATAGTGGGCATATAGGGCTAAACCCTAATTTTATATACTTTTTTCTTCAATCGGCACTTGGTCACGCCCACCGTCTTTACCTCCCAGGACTTCACCTGGTACTCAATGAAGATTGGGGCGACCTGGGACCTGACACAAAGTGCCACCATTACTGTTGGGAATCATCAGGGCACAAGTTCCCGAAACCCCGTTCAACGGGAAGGTTACAGGAGGGCCCCCTACGACAGCCGAGGTAGGTTTTTAAAATAAAAAAGCAAAGAATTGAGTCCCAAATTGGGACGGCGCTCAGCAGTTACATGTGAGTGAGTGACGTTCAACACTACCAGGACCACACAACAAGGGATAAACACCCAGTGACACCATTCGGATGAGAATCCCCTAAACACAAGTCCCAGAAACCGCGTTCAACTGTTAGATTTAATTAGGGCCCCCGACAATATCCAGGGTGGAGCCTTAAAAATAACCAAAAAAAATTGTGTCATATACGCAATAAAACAAATAATAATAATGAAAAAAATAATTGCTGATTTAGACAAGACCTATTTCCTTGACCAATTGCCTCTTTTCCACCCCCACCACCCAAATATAAAGGGGAACTGAGCCGTTCTCCAAAGTACTCTTTGTGTCTGCACCCCCGGTTTAAACGTTTTAATTTTAGATTTTATGCCAGAATAAGTTCTACGTTAATCTTGAAAGATTGTATCAACTACATCTCCTGAATTTCTGAGTCCACTCTCTTTAATAAGTGTGTCGCTAGAGACAGTGGAGGATTGGAAGCAAATGATTTGCAAATTAACGTAAGGCTCGTTAGCGTTAAAAAAGCAGATATGCTATTTACTTTGATCGATAATGTCTATCATCACGCATCAATGTATGTTATTAAATGAAATCAGCTGAACTGAAAGGCCTGATGATTGATTTTTTTTTTTTTTTTTTTTTTTTTTTTTTTTAAATTTTCTCCCACCAGATTTGCATTTTGTGAAATACACATCTCAAGGATGAGATTCAAACAGCTACAAAGCTTGGAAACATAGTTTAACTGCTTAGTTAGATCCTTTACAGGACGTTGCAGAACCAACCCCAACAGCCTCTGGCTGTTATGTGGTTTTTCTGGTCAAATTTACGTCCAGTAGTTTGCCACTGCCTACTAGACGGTCGGCTTTCTTGATACCACTGTCGAAACCAACGCAAGGCGCATGGCCCGCAGTTGGGATCGAACCCGGCATTACAAAGCGTTCGCATCGACTTAGCCACAGAGCCGGCGGTTAGCTGTATAGAACCGTTATATTAGGGCACCACAAAATGGTTACGAAGTATCTTGTAATCCAGGGTGGTTGGATTGTGGTCCATATTTAAACTATCGGAAGTTGAGTTAACACAGAATGCTTAAAAAGCGAGGAGCGGCTGGCCGAGCGGTTGCAACGTCGGACTCTCACGAGGGAGACCCGGGTTCCCCCCCCCCCCCCCCCCCCCTCCCCCGGTAAGGTGATAAAGTTTTTCTTCCAGAGAGGAGGGAAGGGGGGATTCAACATCCTAACCTGTACAGTCCGTGTCGACAGCACTAGCCGTGCTGCCTTAAATCCCCACAACCACCTGTCTACACCGACCTAAAAAGTGGTACCTAGTGACAGTGACTTGGTAATCCCTGTTGGGACAACTATATTTTGAATACAAGACAGTGTTGGAATAAATAAACAGCATCTTTTTGTATGTTGAGATCAACCCCATAAGTAGCAGCGTTCTATTTCCGGTTTAGGAAGAAAATGGTCTTTGGCGTTTAGACAGTGGTATGACAACTAGGCAGGATTTATACATAATGAGGCCCTACGTTTTTTAAAGCCCTGAGGCCCTCTGCCCTTTAAAATTACACTAGATAATCTCATAAAACGTTCCAATATATATATATGTATATTCCCCGTGTGGGTTCCGGGGCACCATTGTGGGAAAAACAAGAATAGACCCACTGCCTACCCAAAAGCATGTCGTAAGAGTCGACTAACTGGGAAACTTCCTTTGAAGTCAGAGTGCATCTGCCTGAGGGTCAAGGAACCAACAGTCTGCAATCAAGTGAATCAGAGCTGTAAAACATGCACACGCAACACTCAGGTTCTGGAGCAGGACTGCAGTTCAGAAGTGGACGAACAAGCAGAACTTTCCGCTAAAGTTTACAGCAGGTGAACGCAAATAAGACGATATATATATATATATATATATATATATATATATATATATATATATATATATATATATATATATATATATATATGCGGATATTCAGTAAAAGAAGCAATCAAGAATATGTTGGCAAAATAATAGAAATCATACTATGTAATCCTCTAAAAAGTTTAAAATATATTTTTTTTAATTTAATTTAACATGTAATTGAAGAAAATTTAATTTCTGGAGAAACAAAGGAAATTTGTAGACACTTGCAGATTATGAAGCCCTAAGATGCAGCTTATTTAGCTTATATATATCTAAATCTAGCATCGTCAAGCCATGAAGAATATTGGTGCTACACAACGTAATCTAAACCACAAGAAAGTGAGTGCATGAATCCATTGAAGTAAATCTCTATTGCAGTGGCAGCACAAGAGTTAGTATTTATTAGACAGCTGAGATTCTTTTGAACATCATGCACCTGTTTTATCGAGAAACATAAGGTTTGATTAGGCTGAGATTCTTTGGGAACAGCATCATGCATCAGCTTCATTGAAAAACATAAGATCAAATGGTTTGCTTTAGCTGAGATTTTGTGGAAACAACACGATTCGCTAGATTCATTGAGAAACATTAAATCAAATGATTTGCTTTAGGTGAGATTTTGTGGGAACAACACCATTCGCTAGATTCATTGAGAAACATAAGATCCAATGATTTGCTTTAGCTGAGATTTTGTGGGAACGACACCATTCACTAGATTCATTGAGAAACATTAGATCAAATGATTTGCTTTAGGTGAGATTTTGTGGGAACAACACCATTCACTAGATTCATTGAGAAACATTAGATCAAATGATTTGCTTTAGCTAAGATTTTGTGGGAACAACACCATTCACTAGATTCGTTGAGAAATATAAGATCAAATGATTTGCTTTAGCTGAGATTTTGTGGGAACAACACCATTCACTAGATTCGTTGATAAATATAAGATCAAATGATTTGCTTTCGCTGAGATTTTGTGGGAACAACACCATTCACTAGATTCTTTAAGACACATAAGATCAAATGATTTGCTTTCGCTGAGATTCTATGGGACCATCACCATGCACCGGATTGATTGAGAAACAGAAGATCAAATGGTTTAGTCGTCTCGCTAGAATGCATCCATAACTACCAACACAAGCGCGACACTTGAAAACATTTGATATGAAAGCAAGAGGTTGCCCTAACAGAATATGGACTGATGGTATACAAGACGTTTTACACAGACACGGAATAATAATAGTCATTGCTAACCATCAAGAAGTGGATCGCGAAATGTTTCTCCACACACCGCTTAAAGCATTAAGTAAGATTGATGATAATGATGAGATAGCAGAGGTACTGAAGCGTATTGAAATAACAATAAATAGTTCTAATTTAAATTTTTTCTTCGAGAAATAAGGCATTCCAAGCACTCTTTCCCAAACTGTTTAGAAGGCTAAGCACCTTAGTTGATTTTATCGAGCAGAATCCCCTTTTCTCGCCACCACGTATAGACGTCCTACTTTGAAGCATTTGTTCACACATTTCACAATACAAGCAGTGTTCCTTTCGAAACCTGTTGCAACGTCTTTATTAAAAAAGTATGAAATAAACATCTACGGGGATAAAGTAAAGTAAAGGTCCCTTTCCCACGCCTTTAGGCGCATTGAGATTATAGGGCTAGACCTAAAAAAAATTTTAGACCAATTGGCACTTAGTGGGTGATGTGATCAGCATCACGCAGGCCGCATTTACTTCCCAGGACGGCACCTGGTACCCACCTAAGGCTGGGTCATTTTTTTTAAACAAGACGCAAACCCACGACGTTTCGATCCACAGGCAGGCGTCTTGCCCGCCGACGCCACGGCGATTTCCCAGGGGTGGCTAAATTATATAAAGCATTCATTTCTAATGGGTTATGCACCATGTGTCGGTCAGGAAAAAGTCATCCTAGTCAATCAGATAAGCATTCCATTGCTTCGGTACGCTGGAAATGCAGTCTTAAAAACATTTGGTGGTTCATCACTGAATCAATTATTTTTCGTCTTAACATCCTGTTAACCTGCCTTCTGATAGGTTTTGAACAGTCCTTATTGAAACATCGAATTCTTTCGCTAGCACTAATACTTACTAGAAATCTGGAAGCTGGGAGCTTAGGCTAATTGAGCGCCCCCCCCCCCCCACTCCCATTTCTTACAAGGAAGTTTAAGTGGAAATGGGTAGGGTGAACGCCCTCCCTTCCCCCACACACACACACTCACCCAGATCTATAAAATGTAAAAGATGGTAAAATGACTCCCTCTATGTATATAAGTTGCTTAAGTATTTATTCAAATATTCTACATTATTTCAAAAATACTTTATTCATTTATTAACAATTCAGTATATTTATTACTATCATCATCATCATCATCATCAGCATCATCATTATCATCATCGTCCTCGTCGTCGTCGTCACTTTTATATATATATTAAAAAATGTGCCGAAACTCCAAGTCAAAGTCCATATTTTGTTTCACTCGACCACGTTCAACCTGCTGCTAGCCAGCTAAAGTCGCCGAAGGTCTCCGGTTATATTTGTGGTCGGGCCGATACTCACCACAAAGTGGCCTAAATGGGAATCGGTACTCACCACAAAATGTCTATTTACAGTAATCTTAAAAAATTATGATGCATAAATAACCGATGCTATTATTATTAAGCACTTTAGGCCCTCTTCCTATAAAAAATTTAAGGGGTTGAGGCTCAGATCTCCCCCACAAGCTGAACATAAATGAGACAACAGATGGCACCTGGCAACAATAAAAGACGATTGTCATGACTAAGTAAAAGCGTATCTACCCACGGTGACATAGTAACTTACGCAATGGCATCGATCATGTCGAGGCCCATCTCCACACAGCAGGTAGCGTGGTTGGCTCTAGCCTCGGGCAGCCCGCTGACGCAGTAGTAGCAGTCTCCCAGGATCTTGATCCGCAGACAGTTGTTTATCTGTAGACAGAAACATCAATGTTCCGATGAAATACTGGCTTAACTGATGAACGGACTACGGACGGACAGACAGACGGGCACACAGACAGTCAGACAGCACACATGCACCCATACATACACAAGCACACATCTACAAACACATGCACTCTTATGTACGCATACACAGATATACAGTCACACAAACACACACACATTTTAATATTCACATACATACACTAATGCATACAGACGAGTTCACACATACACATCCACGGACAAACAGACATACACACAGACTTAGACAGACAGACAGACAGACAGACAGACAGACAGACAGACAGACAGACAGACAGACAGACAGACAGACAGACAGACAGACAGACGGACGGACGGACGGACGGACGGACGGACGGACGGACGGACGGACGGACGGACGGACGGACGGACGGACGGACGGACGGACGGACGGACCGACCGACCGACCGACCGACCGACCGACCGACCGACCGACCGACCGACCGACCGACCGACCGACCGACCGGCGGGCGGGCGGGCGGGCGGGCCGGATGGATGGATGGACGGACGGACGGACGGACGGACGGACGGACGGACGGACGGACGGACGGACGGACGGACGGACCGACCGACCGACCGACCGACCGACCGACCGACCGACCGACCGACCGACCGACCGACCGACCGACCGACCGACCGACCGACCGACCGACCGACCGACCGACCGACCGACCGACCGACCGACCGACCGACCGACCGACCGACCGACCCGACCGACCGACCGACCGACCGACCGACCGACCGACCGACCGACCGACCGACCGACCGACCGACCGACCGACCGACCGACCGACCGACCGACCGACCGACCGACCGACCGACCGACCGACCGACCGACCGACCGACCGACCGACCGACCGACCGACCGACCGACCGACCGACCGACCGACCGACCGACCGACCGACCGACCGACCGACCGACCGACCGACCGACCGACCGACCGACCGACCGACCGACCGACCGACCGACCGACCGACCGACCGACCGACCGACCGACCGACCGACCGACCGACCGACCGACCGACCGACCGACCGACCGACCGACCGACCGACCGACCGACCGACCGACCGACCGACCGACCGACCGACCGACCGACCGACCGACCGACAGCTAGATAGATAGATAGATAGATAGATAGATAGATAGATAGATAGATAGATAGATAGATAGATAGATAGATAGATAGATAGATAGATAGATAGATAGATAGATAGATAGATAGATAGATAGATAGATAGATAGATAGATAGATAGATAGATAGATAGATAGATAGATAGATAGATAGATAGATAGATAGATAGATAGATAGATAGATAGATAGATAGATAGATAGATAGATAGATAGATAGATAGATAGATAGATAGATAGATAGATAGATAGATAGATAGATAGATAGATAGATAGATAGATAGATAGATAGATAGATAGATAGATAGATAGATAGATAGATAGATAGATAGATAGATAGATAGATAGATAGATAGATAGATAGATAGATAGATAGATAGATAGATAGATAGATAGATAGGCAGCCAGGCAGGCAGGCAGGCAGATAGATAGATAGATAGATAGATAGATAGATAGATAGATAGATAGATAGATAGATAGATAGATAGATAGATAGATAGATAGATAGATAGATAGATAGATAGATAGATAGATAGATAGATAGATAGATAGATAGATAGATAGATAGACAGACAGACAGACAGACAGATAGATAGATAGATAGATAGATAGATAGATAGATAGATAGATAGATAGATAGATAGATAGATAGATAGATAGATAGATAGATAGATAGATAGATAGATAGATAGATAGATAGATAGATAGATAGATAGATAGATAGATAGATAGATAGATAGATAGATAGATAGATAGATAGATAGATAGATAGATAGATAGATAGATAGATAGATAGATAGATAGATAGATAGATAGATAGATAGATAGATAGATAGATAGATAGATAGATAGATAGATAGATAGATAGATAGATAGATAGATAGATAGATAGATAGATAGATAGATAGATGCGTGTCTGTGTGTATGTGTTTGTGTGTTGTGTTTTTGTGAACAGGCGCGAGTTTCGCAAGCGAACGTGGACAAAGTTGCATGTGACACCATCCCCATCAGTTATTATTTCCCGCATTTTACACATGAATAGAGTCGATAGGAAAACAATCGTGACATGAAAACAGCAATTTCCATTGGACAATTTAGTAGGAAGGTTTATGACATATATTGCCGTCGGGAGTGTAAAGTGCTTGCACATACTCTATGTAAATCCACCTCCCTCATCTAGACACCAAAGTATGCATGTGTACTAAGCAAAGAAGGAGTAGGATGATGGCAAGTCTGGGACTAATACAAGCGATAGGAAGCATGACAAGATACTGCACGAAGTAGACTGGTAGACCAGTCTTTGACGCTACCAGGAATACATGACCTGCAAGTGAAGCCTGGCGAAGCACGTTTGTGTCATCTTTAATTTCAACATAGGAGATACAAGTAACTTTGTAGAAGAAAAAGTCAGAGGAAGTAAAATATGACGGTTGCTGCATCGGTGGATTGATTCGCGTAGGAACGCGCGATGTGAAACAGGAATAAGAAAACATTCCTGCAGCAATACCGTAAATGGCTCCTTATCATTTTGTGCTTTCTTTCTGGTAAATTCTGACAATAATCATGTACTCATATGATGAGACTGGTTAACCAATGATCTACTAAGTTGGGGAAAGTAAGGATCGGAAAAAGGGGGGGGGGGGGGTATTAGTGTTGCTGAGCGTAGAAGCAGGATGCTGAAATTGCGAATTTAAAAAAAAATTACCCTGACAATGATTATCCAAACATTGTTGTCTTAAATTGTTAGAAAATACACTAACTTCGAGTATCAAAAGAAGCTTTCTCATGTTGATCAAAAGACATTGGTGTCTAATTGGGATATCAATAGCTATCCATTTTCTTGACA